AACTATAAACACAGTAGTTAAAAGATGAGTGGTTGCCAAGTATTAGGCAACCTAGGAGGTGATGACTAGGTGGATCAGAAAGAACTTTTGGGGCAGTGAAACTCTTCTATATGATATCGTAATAGTAGAAGCATGCCATTTTGCATTTGTTATAAGCTATAGAATGGACAACACCAAGAGTGAACTCTAATGTAAACTATGGACTTTCAATGATAACACAATATGCCACTTCATTGATTGTAACAAATATACCACTCTGGTTTAGGATGTTGTTAATGGGTCCGGCTGTGCATGTATACATGGGAATTCTTTGTACTTTCTGCCTGATTTTGCTGTGAACTTAAAAATGTTCTAAAAATATAGTTTGTATTGAAAATGAAATGAGATATTACATGTAGGTTCCACACATAAGGAGCTTGGAAATCACCACTCCATCCTAACAATAGGTGAAAAAGGTGAACAAACTGAAAGATTAATAACTCTTCTTGGATCTGTAAGAGAGGGGAGATTACAGGGCAAATTGCTGCCTCGAAGACTGGAGAGACAGACAGGCAGATATGGGGAGTCCCATTAATATGGGCAGCTTTCTAGTACACTTATTTCTGTGATCACTGCTCTCTTCTATTTCCTTTTACATTTATGTATTAGTCCGTAAGGTTTTCAAAAGCATTAAGACATTTTGGAAGACCTTGATTGTCCATGTATCCTTTCATTCGTTCATTCATTCAGCAAACATTAATTAAGTGCCTATAATGTGTCAAATGATGTGTATTTCTTATGGGAATATAAACATGTATAAGACATAGACACTTCATCCAGTAAAACGTTCAACAATTTTTGAACATCTACTATGTGCCATGCACTGTGCTAGATATTAAGGATTCAGCAATGAAGGGAGCATCCCATTTCAAAAACAGTGTGACAACCACAGCAACAAACTCTTGACCCCACTAACATGTCTCTAGGGAGATCTTCATGGTGCAACTCCTTGAAAAGGTGAGGGTTTTGTTTGTTTGTTTGTTGGGTTTTTTTTGTAGTCACTCTCTTAACTTCTTTTGGACTCAATGCACTACAATTGCACTTTCAATCCAACACATTCCAGTAGGACTTTCAACATACCTTTTCATGAAAATTGCTCTTACCAACTTAATTATGAACTCTATGTTGCCAAAACCAAAGGTCAGTTCTTTTTGTCATGGCATTTGATGCCCAGCACCATTCAACATGGTTGACCACACTTTCCTTCTGGAAATACTTTCTTCACTTGACTTTCATAGAGGCACACTCTTCCAGTTTTCCTCCTGCCTCACACTGCTCCTGCTCAGGCTCATTAACTGGCATCTCTTCCTCTGTTAAACCTCTAAACATCGTCATCTCTGTCCCAGGATTTAGTCCTGAGGCTTTTCCTTTTATCCATGAATATTCTCACAGTACAGTTCATCTAATCCTGTGACTTTAAAATTATTGTATGCTTCCATTTCCCAAACTTACCTCTCTAGATGGCATAAGGGGTATAATTGTCCTAAAGTGATCCAGGAGTTTAGCAAGGTACCAAGAAGAGGGATCCACTCTTCCCGGCATGAAGGACTACATCCTGAATCACTCTCTGTGGACCAGTGGCTTTCTTCCCAAACCCAGACTGTCTGGCACCAACATCATGTGCGTTGCTCCATTGATAAAGCTGCTCTCTGTGTTTATATGATACAAACATAGAATAAAGGAGGCTAGTGTCCCTACACTGGAATGCAGACCCACACTGTGCACCACTTATGCATCAGTGTAGAATGGAAGGATGGGAAAATCATGCCTTCTACTTCTTTGCCAATTCTTGGTCTTTGTGAGTTTTCCTAACACAACATATTGGTTAACCCATGCTATGGCATATTGGGGAATTCTCAAACACTCATGTCTACTGGTAGTGATGCAGATGGGCCACACCTTACATGACATGTCCTGATCTTCCCTGAGCGCATAGACTCTCCAGCTGTCCCAGCACCATTTGCCTTAAAAAAAATCCTTTTCTGGGGCGCCTGGATGGCTCAGTCGGTTGAGCGGCTGCCTTCGGCTCGGGTCGTGATCCCAGAGTCCTGGGATTGAGCCCCACATCGGGCTCCCTGCTCAGTGGAGAGCCTGCTTCTCCCTCTCCCTCTGCCTGCCTCTCTGCCTACTTGTGCTTTCTCTCTCTCTGTGTCAAATAAATAAATAAAATCTTAAAAAAAAAAATCCTTTTCCTCCGTTGAATTTACTTGGCATCTTTGTCAAAATCAAGTGGCCATACGAATGTAAATTATTAACTCACACTACAGGCAAAAATTCCCTCAAAATGGATCATAGACCTAAATGTAAAGGCTGAAACTATACACCCCTTGGAAGAAGACATAGGTGAATATCTTTATGACCTTGGGTTGGACAAAAACATGAGTGATAAAAGAAAAAAAAATTAAGATTTATTTATTGATTTTAGGGAGAGAGTGCACCTGCGAGCAGAGAGAGGGGCAGAGGGAGAACATCTTCAAGCAGACCCCCTGCTGGGTGTGGAGCCCAGGGCAGGGCTCAATCTCATGACCCATGAGATCATGACTTCAGCCGAAACCCAGAGTCCACGTTTAGCCAACTGAGCCACCCAGCACACCCCAAAGAAAAGAATTTTTAAATGGGATGTCATCAAAATTAAAAATGTTTGTGCTTCAAAAGACACCATTAAGAAAACGAAAAGATAAGCCACAGACTGGACAAAATGTTTTCAAATCATTTATCTGTGGAAATTAATAAAAAGAAATTTCATTTAGGATGGAGTCAGTAGGCCAACAGGGGTAGCGATTATGCCCAACCACTCATCGTCAATTGCATACCCAACAGGAGAGGCACCTTGCAGGTAGATACCACTTTACTACCCCAAAAGGCTTTCCTCCTCCCCCAGCAGGAGCCCAGCCAATGAGACTGTCACAGCTCAATCAATGAAAAGTTACTATGCTTCAAAATGGAAGTTTGCTCCAATGGACTTTCTGACTTTCTGTTTATAACAGCATCCCAGCTTCCCCTTTTCCTCAAAAAAAAAAAAAAAGTGCTCTTATTCTTTGTTCTATGCACTTGCCTATGGTTCTGTCCTAGCTTGCTTGTCTAGGATTGCAATTCTCTGCTATTCCTGAATAAACCCATTTTTGCTGGTAAATTAACTGGCAGTTTTATTTTTTAGGTTAACTTATCTATTAAAGAACTTGTATCCAGAATATGAAGTACTCCTACAATCCACCATTAAGAACGTAAATAACCCAATTGAAAATGGGCAAAAGATTTGAACAGATATTTCACCTAAAAGGTATAGGAATATCCAATAAGCACATACTCAGCATCATTAGTCATTAGGGAAATGCAAATCAAAAGCATGATGAGACACCACTTCTTACCCACTAGGATAGTTATAATTTAAAAAAAAAAAAGGTGCACAATGTGGAAAAAAATTGAAACATTCACTCAATACTGGTGAGAAGTGTAGCCATTTTGGAAAAAAGTTTGGCACCTTCTTAAGTTAAAGACAAATTTACCGTATGTCTCAGTGATTTCACTCCTACCTATCTACTCAAGAGAAATGAAAACATAGGTCTATACAAACACTTTATGGGGATATTCATAGCAGCTTTATCTGTAATAGTCCAAAAAGTGGGAAAAGTCCAATTACCCACCAACTGGTGAACCAATAAACCAAATATGGTATATCTATACAATGGAATAGTATTCAGCCCCTAAAAGGAATGAAATACGGACAAATGCTACAACAGAGATGAACCTCAGAAGTATATTATGCTTACTGCATGGAGCACTGGGTGTTATACGCAAACAATGAATCAAGGAACACTATATCAAAAACTAATGATGCAATGTATGGTGATTAACATAACATAATAAAAAAAAAGAATATTTGCTTAAAGAAAAAAAAAGGATATTATGCTAAGTAAAACAAACCAGATGCAAAAGACAAAATACTGTATGACTCCATTCATATAATGTCCTGAAAAGGCAAATTCACAGTCAGAAAGTCAATTTGAAGTTGCCTAGAGTGCGCTAATGGGCACAAGAGATCTTCTGGGGGTGACAGAAATGTTCCAAAACAGGATTGTGGTGATGGTTACACAAGCCCATAATTTTATTTAAAATAGTAGATTACACACTTAAAGTAAGTGGATTTTATGGCATGTAAATTATATCTCAATAAAGCTATTTGGAAATAAAAGATATGTGATATTGTGGCCGCCATCTGCCTTGCCCTTCATTTATTTCTCATTTTCTATAGAATTTATAGAATTTATTCCACTCAGAGACTCTAAACTCTTGTTCTACTGGCTCTTTGGCTGAAAGCGATTCCCAGAGAGACACTGGCTAAATTCTGCCAGCCTCCAACACTTCCAACAGCTAGGGGAATGAGTACCCCAGTCCTGAACAGGATAGGGGGTGTGTATGGTTCACTTACAGCATTACTCTAGCAGGCAAAGCTGTCTGATGCACGTTGGTAGCCTCAGGTAGGGCTCCACAGGTCTTCAGAGAACAAGCTGCTACAACTCAGTGACTACAGTCCAACTTCCCTAGGCAAGTGTGTTTGCAGCACGAGGAGTCAGGTCTCAAGTAGGAAGAGGAGAATGGCCACAACACAAGGAGAAAGAGAGATCCAGAGGAGGGTGTCAAACCCAATCTTTGTAGGGCATTTTTCCCAACAATTTAAGAGAACATTCTTTTCAAGCGCATGTGGTGTTTTCACCAGGACCATATGCTAGACTTCAAAACAAGTCTCCATAAATATCTAAGAGTCAAAATCATACAGAGTGTATGCTCTGACCACAACAGTATTAACTTAGAAGTCAATTAAAAACAAGATATTTAGAAAATCCCCAATTTTTGAAATTAAACAACATACTTTGGAATAACTCATGTGTTAAAGAGGAAATCACAGGTAAATTAGAAAATATTTTTACCTGAATGATGATAAAAATCCAATACATCAAAATTGTAGGATGTGGCTAACCCAGTGCTTAGAGAGACATTTATAGCTTTAAGTGTCAAAAGAAAAGGGATAAAATCAATAAGCTTTAACCCTAAGAACCTTGAAAAGCAAGAGTAAATTGAAGCCAAAGCAAATAAAAGGAAACAGATTATTAAAAGAAGTTGATGGAAGAGAAAAGGGATAAACAATAGAGAAATACAACAGTAAATTTCTCTGTAATCCACACGGAAAATTTAATTTCACATGGGTTCTATATGTAAATATATCTGGAACCATAAAGGCTTTAGGAGAAAAAAATAGAAGAGCATCTATTGGGACTAAAAATCAGAAAGTCATCGCTTCTGGGGTAGATTGATGGGCGGAGGTGGGAGCTGACTGGAAAGGGGCAGGAAAGAACTTTTTGAGGTGAAGGAAATGTTCCATATGTTGTCTTGGGTGGTGGTTACAGTGGGGTATGTAATTGTAAAGGTTCATTGAACTAACACTTAAGATCTGGACGTTTTAATGCGTGTAAATCACAGCTCAATTTTTTAAAGCAGAAAAAAGGAGCTTATGGTGGTGGTATTTGGACAGCTTTGGGCCACAGGCTCCAAAAGCATTCACAGCATCCTCTGAGACTCTGCGGAGAGTGGTTTTGCAACCAAAATGTGAGATGTGTGCAAACGTCCGTAAGATCCACTGTGGCCACAACTGCAGACACCTATTCTCATTATCCAATTTACAGAACTAAACAGTTATCACTAGAGGGCTTCCCTTCAACGGAGATCTTCCTCCCCACCCCAGAGCTCTCCAAAGGTTGCCAGGATTGAGGTTCTGGATACATGGGGTTGGAAAAGAGTCCCTTCCCATAGAACTTCAAGGGTGACTGGAGCTGCCACCGTTGCAAAGGTCTACACTTTGCGAGAGAGTAACATTTCAAATGGTACTCTGAGAGAGGAGCTAATGGACTGCACAGTGGATTTTCTCGCCAGATGCATTTACTTCACAAGGCAAAAATGCCCATTGTGCTGGCAGATTTCGTCTTTTCATTTAAATCCACAGACTGTGGAGCCCAGACACCTGGCACCGACTGCCGGATGTCTTGCTGCGGGGAGAACCAAGCCTTTATCACACTGTGGCCCTGAAACATGCTTCCTGTGCCTGGGAGGAATGAGAGATACGTTAAAGGTCACTACTTTTGGGGGAGGAGGGAACCTGGAGAAGGCATGAGCAATAAGTATGTGGTAAGAGTTCAAGGTGAAAAGGCTGAGCCAAGAACAAGAGTGCATAAAACTCCAGTCCTGCCTTTGGGAGATAATGAGACCAGAACCCAGGCTCTTTCAACTGGCTTCCAACAGTCTAACAGGTTAGAGCTTTCTCATTTTCTTTCAACTATTCCTGGGCATGGGAGTTTTGCAAAAACAGAATGGAGGGAACAAAATGGTTTTTGTAAGCCTATAATGACTTGACCTCTCTTTCTGACCATCCCAGGGTCACCCTGTAATCTAATCTGCCCCCCATTTTTCTGTTCCTGGAGAGTGCTTCTTGGCAACCAGATTTGACCATGGCTGGGTGGAGCTGCCTTGTGACAGGTGCAGGAGGGTTTCTGGGTCAAAGGATCGTTCGCTTGTTGGTGGAGGAGAAGGAGCTGCAGGAGATCCGGGCACTGGACAAAGTCTTCAGACCGGAACAGCGGGAGGAATTTTCTAGTAAGTGAACTTGAGTTCATGGGTGGGTAGCTCCATCTTAACCCCCTCACAGGTATGGGGGAGGGGTTCTTGTCTAGCAAATCAAGGAAAGTTGTAGCCAAACCGAGGCTGATCCCCTGTCCAAAGTCATCAGAAAGGAAATCACAGGTGGTGTGGTATAAGAGATACAGGGCTGTCAGGAGACTGGGTCTGACCCTGATCCGGAACTAGAGATCCGGATGACTGTAAGCCAGCCACTCTGGCCTCTAGGTCTCTTTTCTTCTCATTTATAAAATCACATTTCTCTCCCTTGTCAACAACTCTTTAATGTTCTGAGGACCGTGGACTTGGCCATGGCTGTGCAACATCTGCAAAGGGCAAGCAAGCCCCGTTACCCTGGAGACCCTGCTAGGGGTTCCCTGCCCTGCTTGAGTGCCCTGGTCTTTCTGTGGCTTCACTCAGCATCTCCAGTAAAGGTGAAGCTGAGTGTGTGTGCATGTGTGTGTGCATGTGTGTATGCATGTGTGTGTGTGCATGCGTGTGTGTGTGAGAGAGAGAGAGACAGGGTGTGAGGGAGGAAGGTGAAGAGGACACACAGCGTACAGCGTGGGAGGGAGCCAGAGACAGAGTGTGAGGCTCCAGAGTGTGGATTCCTCATGTGGATTCCCTGTACATCTCTTCTTCCCATTTGTCCCTGCTCATCACCACAAGAAAAGTGACTGCAGAATCTGCTCATCGCTCTGCTGTTTTCCCAGACTGCTGCCCCTGGTGCAAAAGCAAAAGCTAGATTTATAAAACCTGTTTCACCCCCCAAATCCTCAAAACAGCCCTGTGAGGAAAGTAGGAACGGGGTCTCACCCAACAGCATGTTGAGGAAATTGAGGTATACAAAGGTAAAGCGACTTGCGGAGGCCTTCTGATTAACGGACCTCAGGGCTCAGAGTAGAGCCTCATCACAGACGCCCCAGTCATAGGGCCCCAGGGCTGCCTCTTGGCAAAGTGAGTCTTCAGTCTCTCCCATTTCCCCACTGTGTGTCCCCAAAGCAATCCCTGTCCCCCTCCCCAGCCCCTGCGGTCTGGACATCAACATGCAGGCCCCTGGTGCCCAGAAGACCCCACCTCCCCACACGGAGACCCCCCAGCCACACCGCCCTCCAGGACTGCGCACATCACTCTTCTCCTCTTCTTTCCTGTGCTCTGAACATCTCAGATGTCTTATTTCCTCTACCCTCTGCTTCAACGATGCCTCTGATGAACACACATGAACATACATGATCAACATCAACTGTTTGCAGACCTTACGTCTCAGTAATACTTACGGTCTGACAGCTGAGGCCCGGGAAAGGCAATGTTCAACCTAGACGAAGGGTTCCCCTGTGTGACCAGTCAGGTGGTGTCCAGGATGGGCAGGGGCTCTGTACAGCTCACAATGGAGAATCCTCACGGTGGTTGTTCTGTGCCAGGCGCTGTGCTCAGTGTTCTATGCGTGTCAACTCATTTGCTCCTCGTAACATCTCTGGGGATGGGTAATATTATCCTCCTCTTTTTTGAAGATGAGAAAGCAGGCACAGAAAGTTGTCTTAGTCTGTCAAGGCTGCTACAACAAGATACCACAGGCTGGGTGGCTTAAACACATCAGAAATTTTATTTCTCACAGTTCTGGGGGCAGAAATCCAAGAGCAAAGCAGAGTGAGGCTCTGGTGAGAGCCCCCTCCCTGGTTCAGAGCCGTGTCTTCTTGCTGTGCCCTCACACCGTACAAGGGGAGAGGGCTCTCTCTGGGATCTCATTTATAGGAATACTGATCCCCTCATGAGGGTCAAACCCTCACGATCTGATCACCTTCCAAAGGGCCCATCTCCTAACAGCATCACATTGTCATAAGGATTTCAACACGTGAATTTGGAGGGACACAAACACTCAGACCACAGCAAAGACTAACTTGTTCAAGGTCCCCCAGCTGAAAAATGGCAACACTGGAATTGAACCCGAAGGTCTAACTGCAGAGGCTGTGCTCTTAGCCACTAATTTGTCTAGTAGCTTCTCTTTGGGCCTCCCTACAATGCAGCCCACATAACATAAGCAAGTGTATATTTGAGCTGCGCAGAATACTTGTCCCGTCCACAGAGCCTCCAGGAGGGAGGGAGCTCTACCTCCACCACCAAGACATCTGCAGCGCCCTCTTCTGGTCTCTCTGCACCCTTGCAAACTAATAGGTTGATCTGAGCCTGTCTGCTGAAGTCAGCATCAGAGAGACAGAAGAAGGTCGGGGAAAGGCAGAGGAGACCCAATCAGAGAAAATCCTACTGATTCCCAGCAGCTTCTCCCCTGCCTTTCTCCCACTTTAGGGCCTTCTTGGAGTTGCCCAACCATGGGAACTAGCTCAGGGCAGAGCAAACTTGGCAGAGGCTTAGGGAGAGCAGAGGGTTCTTCCAAGTTGTAACCCAGGAAGGAAATTTCCCTGCCCTGGATTTTTCACTCTGAGTTTCTCTCTCACTGTTCTCTGGCCTCCATTGCCGATTTCAGTTAAATTGCCTTATCCTTTAAATACATACATACATACATACTTAGACTTATCCTTATCTGCCTCAGGAAAAAAAAAAAGCGTGAGTCCTGCACTTGGGTGACAGGGGAAAGAGAACAAAGCTTGAAGGCAGGGAGCAGGCTTGAGTCTTCACTGGAAGTGTGACTCAGCCCTGCCCCTTCATCTGTCTCCGACGGAGTTGCCTTGCCTGTATAGTGGAAATCGGAATACCTATGTCATGAGATAGCTGTGAAAGAAGAACCAGAACGCTGTGAGAGTTGTGTGCAAAGCAGAACGCACAAAGTAAGTGTAGAGTATTTATCCAAACCATATGTAGCACCATGTTTAGGTCACGGGCTCGTCTGAGGTGATGATGTTACTGGCAGGACCCCCCTTCCGGTGGATTTCAGAGGAGCTGAAGACCCTGAGGTTCAAGCCACTGTCCTTAGCTAGATGGCCAGAAAGTTAGTCCCTTGGTGGTGGACTCATTTTCAGCACTGATATCTGCTTTAGATGATATCTAATAAGGTTTTTTTTTCAGTTAGACCTCTCATTTGGACCCTTTCTAAATTCCCTGTTACTGGCTTCCCTATCCTTCTGGTCTACCTAAGCAGGAAATACTCAGGCTGACATGGACTCTTGCTCTTCCTCTCGGTCTCTCTCCAGTAAGAACAAGGAGCCGGCTGCATAAGGTCTGAAAAGTCAAGCGTGTGTATCCCTCCCCTTCCCTGCTTCTGCTGTGGGAGCCCTGGTTCTGTCCTCCTCCTCCGAACTTTGCTGCAGACATTCTCTCGATTGCTCTCTCGATTAATCTCTCGATTGCTTTGCTCCCTCTTAGATGCACCACACCGATCCATTTTACATACTGCAGCCAGGGTTGGCTGCACCTACACCACAACTCTGTTTATGTTTCTCTTCTTGTGCCAAATCCAGGCGGGATTCCTCATTCCCTACAGAATTAAATTCAAATTCTTTCCTCTTATATCCACGCTCCATAATCACCCCACTCTCCTTAATGAATTTTATGAACTTCCCATGAATCTCTTTAACAATTTTCATCCCAGGCATACTTGACTCCTCACTGCACAAATTCTTTTTTTTTTTTAAAGAATAAAAAGGGGTGGAAACGGATGTTTGCTCTTTCCCAATAAATGCTACACATTCTGACTTCTGTGCCTTTGTTTACTTGTTCCTTCCATGGATTTATCTCCCATCTCCACCCTCCCCCTGGGTAAACACCACCTTTATCAGGAAACTTCCAGATCCAGAAAGCCTTCCAATGACCTGATTCATGTTCACACAGAGCTCCAGAGCAAGACCAAGGTGATCATGGTGGAAGGAGACATTCTGGATGAGCAGTGCCTGAAGAGAGCCTGCCAGGGCACTTCAGTTGTCATTCACACCGCTTCTGTCATTGACGTCATGAATGTCATTCACCGAGAGACCATCATGAATGTCAATCTGAAGGGTATAGTATCCCAGGGAGGATATGGAGTGAGGTGGGCGAATGAGGCTCAGAAAACAGACCAGGAAGGGAGGAGAGGCCCCCATCACTGAACACCCGCTGAGCCTGCTCCAGCTGCTTTTTCTTATCACCACTGAGAGATTCAAGGCTGTTATGCTCAGTTTTTTAGATGAGGAAACTGGGGCTGAGCAAAGCTAACAAACTTGTCCAAGTCCCTCTGAGTAGGAAAGCTAGAATTTAAACCCACACCTGCGTCTCCAAAGGCCACAAAAGCTCTCTTTACTGCAGCTCCAATCAAGCATCGACTCTAAGCCAACCTTGAACTCTCATGATCCAACTACCTTCTGCTTCCCCTGGGCGAAGACCAGATCTTACAAGTGCCTCCCTGGTCATCATTTTAGCCCTTCTGTGCACCTCTAAGCTGGTGGTCACACAGTAAGGCCAAGAACTAAGAGCTCTGTGATAGAAGGGCCCCCGTGTCCACTGTGAGCAAAGAGCCACAGCTCCAGGCCAGTTTCCTTCAGGCAGGACTGTGCAGGATCACCCAGCGTAATGAGAACATCTAGCACCTTCCTGCTCACCCCAAAGGATTCCTCTCAAGAGACCTGCAAAGCTAGTTCACAGCAGTCTGGCAGGACTGGCCTCCCCATGATATCTTCTTAATGGTAATAGCTTCCCCTTCTCCATAAGAGTACTTCTTCAGCTCACTGCTGGGTCTGCTATTAAAGGGTCGTTTCTAGCTAGGTGCCCAAAGTACACCCTCCTTAGATCCTCATCCCTTAAATGCCTGGTGGTTCTTTCTGGATTGTGGCTTTCCAACCTACTTTAAAACTAGACACCTTTATGTAAGAGATTAGCTTAAATCCCTTATTAGCTTCACAAGCAAAGTCATCCTTCTGAGCCCTGGAGGCCAGTCTCTCTAGGACCACAGTGCCCCAACCCCCAATCGCATCTGGTTCTCATGACCTGCTCTACAAAGTTAGTCGTTAGACAGAGACTCCTTTTCTAAAGCAACTCATTGCTTTAGGGTCTCCAGCCTAAAGTAGCACAGTCTCAAAAAAGACCCTTTCTAGTTTCTACTTAGCCATACCCTCATCACTCCCACACTGCAAGGAGGGTGCTGCTAAATTAACCAAGTTTTCCTTTTTAGCCCCCTCTGCTAATTCCTGCTCTCCAGGACTCCCAACAGCAGAGGATTTGAAATCCCTGAGAAGTGGTAGAGGCATCAGTTAATTAAAACTAATGTCAGTTCCAGGTTTAGAAGATACTTCAAATAATGGTCATTTTTCCCTCTGCAGTTCAATTGGCCCCAAATTTTCTCAGCCTCTAGTTTTGATTTTTTTAAAAAATGAGTCTGATTCTCCCAAAAATCAAATTGCACAAAGACCTTAAAAAGGATTATTTTTAATACCAAAAAAAAGAGAGAGAGAGAAATAAAAAACGATGCTTTGCGGGGAATGTTCTTTCTTGTGGAGAAGGCGCTCTGCATTACCTCCCCCAGCTAAAGGGATTCTGCAAGATCCTCCCATTATAGGTATTAACCACCAGAGGGCACACTTCCCCTTCCGGTTCTCCACCAAGCTCAACACAGAAGGCCAGTGCCAGGCTCCAGAATACTAAGTAAAAGGACGGTTTATCACCCTCACTTTTCAGACCTGGGTAAAGGGAGTCACAGTCAGAATTAGGAGTGGCCTTTGTAGGGAGCACTCAATTAGGACTAGGTAAAATTCCAGTCCATATTCTGAGAGTATGGCCTCATAATTTTTTTTTTTATTTAAAATAAACTGTTTTTAATGAAGTGGTAGGGATAAATGATAATTTTCTTTTTTTTTTTTTTTAAGATTTTATTTATTTATTTGACGGAGGGACACAGCGAGAGAGGGAACACAAGCAAGGGGAGTGGGAGTGGGAGAGGGAGAAGCAGGCTCCCTGCAGAGCAGGGAGCCTGATGTGGGACTCGATCCCAGGACCCTGGGATCATGACCTGAGCCGAAGGCAGTTGCTTAACAGACTGAGCCACCCAGGCGACCGGGATAAATGATAATTTTCTAATGTCTTCACTCAGCAAAATATAAAATAGCAACCCTCTGTCCTTTTCCAGAATTCAAGGTACACACACAGGTCCAGGAAATCCAAAAAGCCTAGAAATTCTTGCTCTCCAGAACCCAAAGGCCGGCTTCTTCTCATTTTGGCAATTTTGCATTTTTCCTACGGCTATAGCATGTTCAGCTCGTAGGTCGGAGGCACAGAGGAATGCACTCCTTATCTGCAATAACCACCTCACCTGGGGGGGGGCGGTGGGCATGGTTGGGCCTTTGGGTTATTTGTTGACACTGACGGTGTACTCCCCACGGGCAGGTACCCAGCTGCTGTTGGAAGCCTGTGCCCAGGCTAATGTGCCGACCTTCATCTATACCAGCACCATAGAGGTGGCTGGGCCCAACTCCTACAGGGAGATCATCCAGAATGGCCACGAAGAAGAGCATCTCGAATCAAGATGGTCTGCTCCATACCCCTACAGCAAAAAGCTCGCAGAGAAGGCAGTGCTGGCTGCTAACGGGTGGGCTCTTAAAAACGGCGGCACCCTGCACACCTGTGCCTTAAGGCCCATGTATATCTATGGGGAAGGAAGCATATTCCTTTATGACTATATATACAAGGCCCTGAGGAACAATGGCATCCTGACACATCATAGCAAGTTCTCTGTAGTCAACCCTGTCTATGTTGGCAATGTGGCCTGGGCTCACATTCTGGCCTTGAGGGCCCTACGGGACCCCAAGAAGGCCCCAAGTGTCCGAGGACAGTTCTATTACATCTCAGATGACACACCTCACCAAAGCTATGATGACCTCAATTACACTTTGAGCAAGGAATGGGGCTTCTCCCTGGATTCCAGAATGAGCCTTCCTATATTTCTGGAGTACTGGCTTGCCTTCCTACTGGAAATAGTGAGCTTCCTGCTCAGTCCAATTTACAAATATCAACCCCCCTTCAACCGCCACACAGTGACATTGTTAAATAGTGTATTTACCTTCTCCTATAAGAAAGCTCAGAGGGATCTGGGGTATAAGCCACTCTTCAGCTGGGAGGAAGCCAAGCAGAAAACCATGGAGTGGATTGGCTCCCTGGTGAAACAGCACAGAGAGACCCTAAAAACGAAGACTCACTGATCTGGGGGTGACAAGGACGTAGATGCAGATGTTGTTGGGAGACAGCTATCAAGCTCTCCCCTCTGGCATCATACGGAAAGAAACAAGGCCACGAGCCCGAGTCCTACTGTCTCCCTTTTACAAGACGGCCATCTTACTGTTTTCCTCCTACCACTGGAAACCTTCCCAGTCCCTGGTCCAACCAGAAGCTTTCTGTCCTGCCCACGCTCCAGAGGACAGAGAAGGAGATTTGCTGGAGCTCCTAATACAAAAGTCTCTGCTGCTGGCTCTGAGCTATTCAGGCCTCTTTCATGTAGAGTTTTGCCTATTATTTCCATTCCCTTTGTTATGTGCAAAGCATTTCTTACCTTTTACAAATTCCTATTCCTACATGCAGCTCAGTGAAAAGAGTAATAAACATTTTAATGCCTAATCTGGAGGACGCTGTGGTTGATGTGAATACATACTTTCCCCCTTCCCCCTCCATTTCTAGGGGGATGGAATGGAGGTGGGCAGAAGTGTCTGGAGCGGGGGGATTAAGTTGGACTAAGCACCTGCTATGTTTCAGGCAAATATCACTTCATTTAATCCTCTTCAGAAACCTCGAGGTTGGGATTGTTACTGCCTTTTATTGATAAGGAAACTTGATCATCAGAGGCCACTCACTAACTGCTAAGTGATCAGGACATTTAGCCCAGAAACACTGATTCGAAAGCCTCTATCTGTCCACTGAATCTTGCAGCCTGAACTGCTTAATGTACAGCTCGATGGGGGTGGGGTGGAGGGGTTTGTCAGCAGTGCAACAGAGTGCAGACAGGAGTGTGCCCTGCTGCTCCTTGGGGGAGGCTGGCTCCTCTGGGTCACCTCCTTCTTGCCCAGCCCGGTGCAGGAGGCTCCCTAGGACCCAGGAGAACCCCTGAGGGGCAGCTGGGAGGGTCTTCAAGCCCTTGCCCAATGGCCTGGGCAGGGGAAGGAGAAGCAGAGAGGTAACCAGCCTCTACTGCCAATGTCGGTGTCCTTGAAGACCCCTAGGACCCACCGGGGCCACCCTGGCAATTCATAGCCAGTATCTAACCTTTCAAATCACATCATGAAACCACACCAGTGGTTCCCAGGAAAGTAAAGGGAACAGGTGTGAATGCCCCTAAAACTTTGTCTCCTACCCAGCGCAAGAGATAGAGAGGTCTACTACCCCCTCCCCTGCTCCCCCCAGAATCTACTCCTCCCTACTCTTTTCTCCTCTTCCCATCTCTCCCTTACACTGTCTGCCGGGATGAAGCTCTATCCCTCTACCTCCTTAGCCTCTGTCCTTTCCCTCCACCGTCCCCTTCATCACTGGCCTTCTCTGTCGCCCTCAGGAGAGGAAGCCAACCAAGGCAGGTGTGGGGACTTGAATGATGACACAGTCATCAACTGAACACAGGACCAACAGTCAAAGGAAACACTTTCAGGGCCAGCAGAGGCCGCGTGGCCTGAAGCAGGTGAGGAGGTGGCTGTTGGGCTCAGAGAGTGGGAGGTGAGAACTGCCTGTCTCCAGAGCCACAGAAGAGTCTCACCCAACATCCAGATGGCTTCTTTCTTACCCAGGGAATGTACCGATTATGAATTCAGTTGAATTTGATTACCCCAAAGGAGATAATTTATGCTTTCATTCTAAGGAGAAAGGGGAAGAATATTCTGGTGGGGATGAAGGTTTCTATCACCTTCAAAACCCCAAGGGCCAGAGGATCGGCAGGGGGCATCGGAGCAGAGTGGCCCCGTACATTGGGGGTAGGTGAGAATGAAACACTCCCTCTGACCTCCCCACAGGGCACAGAGCACAAGGGGTAGGCCCTGTCCAGCTCCTGGGTGGTGCACACACCTTTACATGTGTGTGCCAGGAGCCAGGGAAGGGAAGAAGGGGGGCGGAATCTGGGACGAGGGCCCCTCAGCTGAGTTTTTAGCCTAGTGAGATTCCGTATCTCTGAATCCACCAGGGCAGGGAAGGAGCACTGTGAGCAGAGACAGAGGAGAGGGCATGTGACCAGCTGGTGGTCTAGCTGAATAAGCATAAAGGCCTTGGAATGTCTGGGCCCAAGACGTTGGCCCTTCTTACTTATACTGGGCACAGAACTGAGGGCTTCCAGCCTTTAGAGCTAATGCACAGCAGCCTCCTTCCCTCCTCCCTCCCTCTCCCCTCTGCTCCCCTCCTCCCTCTCCCCTCCTGTCCCATTCCCTCCCTCCCTCCCCCCCAATCTCCTCCCCTTTCCTTCCTCTTCACCTCCATCTCAGTCTACATCCCCTTCTCCCCCTTTTTCTTTCCTGGCCCCCTCCCCGACCTGGATGCAGCACAGAGTAGGGTGAATGAATGAATGAATGAAAGGGCAGGTAAGTGCTCAGCCACCCGGTTAAGCCCTAAGGATAGATGAGTCCAGGGAACGGAGCTCACCTGATGAAGGGGGTGGGGGGGACCCCACAGAGCAGTGGGGCCTCAGCTAGGCCTTTAAGGGTGGGTGGGGCTTGGGTAGAAGAATGAGGTGTTCCAGACAGGTGAGGAGCCTGAGCAGTGGTGCCAAGGAGAGGGTGAAGGGGAGTGAGGAGGCTGGCCTGCAGGTGGGAAGGGTTTACCCCAGGGGAGCTGAGATCGCTTAGGGTGTCAGATGGGACAAGGAGGCTGGCCTCAGGGCAGAGGGGGATCGGGCAGGTGGGTGAATGGCTGGGGGAAGGGCCCACAGGAAAGTGGCAGGGGGCCTGAAGGGGTGAGGGGGGTGAGGTGGACTGGAAAGCCAGCCAGACCAGCTGCTATAGAAACCCAGAGACCCTGTCTTTCACCCCACGTATAAAATTCTCAATTACTCTTTTAACATACAAAGAACAATAACAAAAACTGACCTCTCATTAGTAAGTCAAAATACCCAAGAAAAAGCTGAAGTCTGGGACAAGGGCAGGGCCGCTCTGAGATTAGGATGGGCCTCCTCATCCCTGGCATCCCGACAGCTCTAGGCGGTCTGGCTCTCCCTGAAATGGATGAAGCTGTTGGGGGAGGTCATCGAAGAGAGGTGACTGCTGACTGACCCTCAAGCTGGACCAGGGCTCTCAGAGGCTCCTCACCTCCTCCCCTGTCCTTGGAATGCGGGCCCTGCTTGCCTTTCCCATTCCCAGAGGCTACTCCAAGGACACAGCCTTGAGATAATGATGTGGTGTTGAGAACACCTGTCCAGTATCCATGACCAAACCCAGTGAAGGCCTCCATATAAACTTTTAAGATCTGGCAGGTGGGTGCAAGGATCCATTCGTCTGGGGGCCACCCAAGACAAGCCTCATTAAGTAAGGTCCCTTTGCTTCTTACAACTGCCACCTACCAACCTGGAGTGGCCTCTTAGGTCTCTCCCTGCCCTCTGATTGTAGGAATCGGCTGCAAATTACAGCCTTACACCCAGGAAGCGCCCATGAGGATGGCGAGCCAAGTCTGTATCACAGTTCGTGTGAATATTCACGCTTTTTCCCTGAAGATATTTCAATGTGCGCAATTACAAAGTGCTGGCCCAGAGCCTCCTGGGGGTGTTATGTAATATATGATATTACCTTATTACCTTATTAAAATCTAAAAGAAATCTGAATTTCAAAACACATCTAGCCCCTAGAGTTTTGGACTAAAGATCATGGACTGTTGGTGGCCAAATTATGTGCCAGGTATTGCTTTACACATTTTAGATAATAATCTTCAAACATCACTCAAAAGCAGGTACTCTTTAATATCCTAATGTGACATCGGAGGAAACTGCAGCACAGAGAGGTAAATAATTTGCTCGAGGTCATCCAGCGAGTTCGTGGTTCAGGCATAGTAATCAAAGGACTTCCAAGGGTCCACATGAAGATGTGAAACTCACATGCCTGTGGGAGCCAGTCCCCCAGATTGTAAGTGAGGCAGGCTAGAACTGAGAGGCCTTGGGGAATGGTGGGGACCGTGGTGTGCAGTAGACCCCACACTCTCTGCTCCTGGGAGAAGCGGCTACAGCACTCCTACTGATTCAGGCCTGGGATGCACCCCAAGTTCCCAGATCTTTGGACTCGCCGAGGAAAGCAAAACCTTCCCAATCTTTATATGAAATTTCTTGATTTCTAAATATTGGCACCTAATTCTAAATTTCGAAAACAGTGTGAGGATCAGCTCTGAGAATGTGTGGGCTGGTGCTGCAATCATATTTGTAATATTTTATCTCTTAAAGAGTGGGCGGCCCGCGGTGTTCATTCTTGGCAGTAGGTCCTGAGTCTACGTTACAGCATAATCTGTACTTTTCTGTATGTTTGATATTGGTTGTCATTTTTTGAATAAATTAATTTTGATTGAAAAAAAAAAGAGTGAAAACTAATGAAACGCATCTGTGGGCCAGACCCCCAGCTAAGGCTTCCAGTGCTCCATCTCTGTTCCCAGGCTTGTGAGGGCAGTAAAATGTGAGACACGGCAGGTACATACACAGTAAAATGTATGAAGGCCATCAGAAAGAGGATCCCAGGGACGCCTGGGTGGCTCAGTCAGTTGGGTGGCTGCTTTCAGCTCAGGTCATGATCCCAGGGTCCCTGGATCAGTGGGGAGCCTGCTTCTCCCTCTCCCTCTGCTGCTCCCCCTGCTTGTGCTCTCTCTCTCTCTGACAAATAAAATAAAATCTTTAAAAAAAAAAAAAAGAAAGAAAGAAAGAGGATCCCATCAGGGTAGGGGACTCAATAAAGCGCTTGCATTTGGGTTGAATACTGAAAGATGAGTAGAATTTCAACAGGCAGAAATGGGGGGGAACGTGTCCCAGGCAGAGGCAAGGAAGTCTGACAAGTCGCAGAGGTGGGAAAAGGGAGTCCCTTTCAGGCAGCATGGACAGACCAGAGAGCATAGGTGTAGGGGAGAACGGAAGACACACCTGGAAAGACATGATGGGAAAAGACCAGGGTCACCTTGGGTCACCACTAGGAGATACTCTGCCTCCTTCCTTCTTTCCCCTCAGAGCACGATTCCGTTCCCCTTCTTAAAGACTGTTTGACATTTAGCT